GTTCCCTCAACTCCCCGCGGCGGGCGACGTGGCCAGGCACCGGGGAGCCGCCGTGCCCTTCAGGCGCCTGCGGCGGCGACCGGGAAGGGCGGGCGGGAGGGTGGAAGCCCAGCGGAGGAGGAGGGGCGATGGCAGGGATGTGCCCGCAGGACTGGGGACACCGGGGCGGGGAAGGGACGGGACTTGAACCCCTCCCGGACCCGCCTCCGCGCGCAGTCCCTCCCTTCTTCCCAAACAGCTCGGCCCCAAATGTTCCCGAACTGACCCCGTGAGAGTTGTCCCCGTCCCTCCTCCTCCGCCGGCGGGTTGGGGTGTCCCCGAGTTGCCGCGCTGGCTGGCTGGTGTGTGACAGGAGAGAGTGGCATTGCCACGCTGTCGGGGACCGTCCCCTGAGAGCTAGCCAGGACCCCCGGCGGGGCTGCTTCCTCGCGCCCCCTTGGCCCTGCGGGGATGAGCAAAAAGGAAAAATCAAACTTTATCCCTATAGTCTCTGACTTCCCGGCGTGAGTGTGTGTGCGTGCGTGTGTGTGTGTGTGTGTGTGTGTGTGTGCACGCGCGCGCGCGCCGGGGATCAGCTTCCTCCAGATGGATGCTGCATTGCTTCAGGAGGCAAGCTCCAGCCCCTCGAGCTCTTCAAGGCCCTCGGTGGTCTTTTCGGAGGGCTGATGTTACCAGCTTGAACTAGGAAGGGTGCGCAGCTGGCGCCGGAGAAGTGACTATGACAAGTTGTTCCCAGGCAGAGATTTTGTTGATCGTATTAACCAGTTGTTGCTGGGTTTCATTGGTTGGCAATGAAGGGAGTTTCTGTTTGGACAGCCTTGGGGTGGGTGCAGGGATGATGGGATGGGGCCTGAAGGAGGAGGACAGGTTTTTCTTTTCTTTCTTTTCTTTTCAGTTGCAAGATATCAACTTGGCATGGACTTCTTGACCTAACAAGTCAGTAGGTTCCCATCCTTTGGACTTTGGAGACCCATATGTATTGGTTTCTGGCCAACTCTTGAGAGAATGAGTGTAGGTTTTATATCTTAGGGCCAAGTTGTGTAGTGTGGTAATAAGTAGATCACTGTGGGCAATCTGATAGGAGAAACTAGTGCTTTCTGCCCTTGGCACACACATCACCTGTCTTGTTCTGATGACAGAGCTTTTAAAAGGAATGGAGGGTTTCAGAGAGGATACTGTGAAGCCTGTGATAACATGCAGCAACAGTGAGATGAAGAGGATGCTTTGCAAATGCAAGATAGTATTGCTATTATTAGTTGTTTGTTTTGGACCCTATCCGCAGCCTTGTGAGAAAATTGTACTTTTTCACATTTGGCATACTGACATATTGCTTTGCTGAAGCTTTTGGGTCACAGCTGAGCTTTTCTATAGTTCAGTTCAGATCTGCATGTTTCATAGCCACCGTTTATGTGTTGTTCTCTTAAAAGCATAAGGCTACCCTAAAGTCTTACAGCAGTCCTCTAGTCTATTCCCCAACTATTTAAAGACTTCCCAAGTTGTCTCTCTTGAATCGTCTTCTGATTTCAGGTTTTTTTTTTAAATAGTGTTTGGGTGTGGTATTTATGTAGCACTAAAACATTTGTGTTCCATGTATTTGCCACTCTGCATTTGTGAGTGTCTTTCTTATGGGGATACTTCATGTAAGTGTTCTTCTGTGCTCTTCTAGGGTGGGTAAAAGTGCTGTGTTGAATTTGTAAATGAAAACAATTAAAATGTTATTTCTGAAGGGCAGAAGTGTTGTCATGGGAATAGTGACTTGAAAATGAACTTAGCATTCTAAGCTTCTGAAAAAAGTTGAATTATTTAAAATATGTAAATTTTTAATTTTTAATTAATCTAAGGCTATCATCTAGGTGTCTCCATCTGATATTCTATGATTCTTCACATAATGCTCAGTTTGAAAGATATCTTTATAAATTTTACTCTTGATATTTCATGTCTGAAATTGAGGCCCAGGAAGGGGAGAGAGGTGACTGTATGTAAGTTTAGGATTCTCGTGCTTCTCAAATATTATGGACCCCACCTTTTTATTTTTTAATTGTAAACTGCAGTCGCTCCTTTACACTTGTCTTTTCCCTTATAAAAATCAACTAATTGTCTGTCTGTATTTCAGAACTCTAGATTGAGATTCTGTAAGGAGATGTGATTTGAGGTACACATGTTGGGTGCATCTAGAACAAAAAACTTGCCAAAAAGAATAGATGTTCTTCTAAAGGTCTAGGAAAGGCACTAGCATTGCGTCTTGCATTGGGGACATCCTGTGTATGTGCAGCAGATGGCAGTCTGCCTTGGACTGACTCACTAGTCCAACTTTTGTTCAGCTGTAGTAGGTTTGACAAATTAAAGTGCTGCTTAATGTTTACTCCAGTCATATTTTATTGTTGTTGTTATTTTTGTTTGTTTGTTGCAGTGCAGCCCAGGCTGATCTGGAACTCAGGTCTTCTACCTCCCAAGTGTTTGGATTGCAGGTGTGTGACACCACCCTTGGCTAAGAGTTATCTTTTTGTTGAAATATATGAGTTTCAAGTTTGGAGATTAAGCACAAAGCAGTATAGTAATTCAGACAAATGATAATTATGCAGTTGTGCAGTTCCAATTATGAATATAACTTCCCTCCTTAACATCTTTCACATTTTTTTTTTTGGCTGACCTCTAACTTCTGGGTTCAAGAGATCCTTCTGCCCTCCCACTTCAGCCTCTTGAGTAGCTGAAACTACTAGTGTGCACCAGTGCACCTGGCTATAAAACAGCTGTCAATTGGATAAGAATAAATGTGCAAGTGCTTTTTCAGTATCTTTAGTACCATATCATATAATGTTTCCTTCTCTGTGTAATGAGCCAGCTACACTTTCTAGCTTGAGACTGTAATTAAAACTAATGTAAAATATTTGTGGCCTGCCTTTCTGTATGTGTAGTGTAGGTAGCCACTATTAACAAGGATGATTCTTTCAGGAGAAACTGGCTTTCCTTGTGGGCTATGTAATTCCTTTGCTAAATCAAACTGTCTCATCTTGATTATGACAGCCTGAATGTTGGCCATTTCCTCGTGGTCAACGGCTGTGCTGAATTACTAAATCTCACTTAAGTGTGTCATTGTGCTATTAAGTTTTGTGGCTGTTCTTCCTTACACATTGCATTTCCTTGGAAGGAGTGATAATGTTTCAGCTTAACCTGAAACTTTTAACATAAGTTAATATTTTAAGCCCCAATTAAAAAATTTTTTTAGTGACAGAATCTCATTGTTTAGTTCAGACTGGACTGGAATTCACCATTCTTCTACCTCAGTCTTCCTAATGCTGGGATTACAGGCTGGGTTCTAGGCCTTGTTCTTTTTTTTTTTTTTGCCAGACCTGGGGCTTGAACTCAGAGCCTGGGCACTGTCCTGAGCTTCTTTTGCTCAAGACTGGCACTCTTACCACTTCAGCCACAGTGCTACTTCTGTCACATAAACTTTCTTTTTATGTAGTACTGAGGAATTGAACCCAGGGCTTCGTGCATGCTAGTTAAGCACTCTCCCACTGAGCTGCATTCCCAGCCCTAGACCTTGTTCTTTAATTTACCTTTGCATAGTCTGGCTTGTTTTTCCTTCGCTAGATTTCTTCCAGCACAAGTACTCTATTGTACTCAGGTCAGTCTTTATTCTGCCCCAGAATGTCATACACATATGTATATATTAAACTTCTGTGCAGTGTTGTAGCTGAATTTCAGCCTTAATTATGTCTAATTACATCTTTAATGTCTAAGATCTATCTCTAAGTGTAGAGATTCTGTCCTATCAAAAGTCCTTACTTCATAGACCTAATTGAAGCTAAGGGAAGTAACTTGTTATGTTTGTGACAAATAATAGGCCTGGGATTAAAATTTCTTATAAGTGGAGGTGGGTCCAAGAAGTCATGATTTGTTATCTTCAGGACACAGGACAATGACTGGGCATGTATTCTAAACCTTATTTGAGGGCATCTTATCTTATTGGGGAGATAAGGATTTAGGTGTTCTCCCCTTCTCCCCTTCTTTAATAGCTTGTTCCTCAGGCAGACAAATTTGAGTAATCATTTTAAGTTTGGTATCTACCAGTGATACCCTTTGTTTACAGTTTATCTCTTTATTGATGTAGAGAATTGTACCACCATCAATGTGGATTGATGTAAAGAATTGGTACTATTGGATTAGCTCTATAATGGTTACTAGCTTTCTCTCCGTACTGATCAAGTGTATGATAATTACCCAGATTACTATCAATATATGCTTGAATCAGAATCAAAAATCTGTTGTTCTATTCTAATAATTGGATTTTGAGGATGTTTAGAATAGAGCTCTCTTGTTGTTAAGGAAATAGTAATCCTTTTATTCATAACAAAATCTTGCTGATTTTCAAATCCATAAAGTATTTTAGTGAAGGAACTTGTATCTACCTAACAAATTCTGATTATTTGAACTTTCCTAAGTCCCCAGGGACTCTATGCTTTATGCAAGTTCTAAGACCCAAGAGGAAATCTGAAGAGAAAATGCAGCACTAAAAGCGGGATAGTCAAAGACAATAATATAACAGCCATACATGTATGAGGTGTCCTGTCAGAGATCAAGGTGCTTCATTGACACCATTATCTGAATATCCACCAGGATGTTTCTGTGGTTTTTGTTTTTGTTTTAGTTTTTACAGCCTGGCTTTGTATTCCACCAAATTTTCTTAAAAATTACAGCTTGTTTTTCTGTGATTAAGATCAAAATCTCTTTTTAATATTTCAGGCTATCTTCTTAACATAAAGTGTCAGCATAATTTTTTTTCTTAATTTGACTGATTAATGCCAAACCAGGGGTCA